CCCTTTTATATCTTTCTTTGAAAGCATTACCCCCATCTTAGTTCAGGCTATAACAAAGTGCCATAAATGGAACAAGTGCCTTGTCAACAACAGAAATTTATTTGTCACCACTCTGGAGGCTGTAAGTTCAAGATCATGATGCCAGACAACGCAGTCTGGTTCCGGTGAGTGCGCTCTTCTTTCAGGGCATTAAGCTCACTCTACCCTCATGACCAAATTACTTCCAAAGTTCCCTACCTCAACATACCACCACATTGAGAAGGGACACAAACATAACATTCAGTCCATTGCAGCCCCAAAAATAAAATAAAAAGCACATACCTATCCCCCAGCCTTCTAGTACTTAACAATAAATTTTTTAAATAATTTTGTTATTGAGATACACAACATAATCACATGTTCTTTTTATTTCTTGTGAGAAGTTTTAAGATCTACTCTCTCAGTAACTTTTAACTATGCAATACAGATATTATTAACTATAGTCACCATGCTGGTCATTACATCCCCAGAACAGTTAGATCATACAGTATTTTTCTTTCTCTGTCTGACTTACTTAACTTAGCATTAATGCCCTTAAGTTTCATCCATATTGTTGCAAATGGCAGGGTCTCCTTTTTATGGCTGAATAATATTCCATTGCATACATGTACCACATGTTTATCCATTTGTGTTCTTTCCATGTCTTGGCTGTTGTTGTTATCATCATCATCTTCTTCTTCTACAGATAATGCTGTAGTGAACATGAGGGTACATACATCTTTCTAAGTTAAGTGTTTTCATTTTTTTCAGATAAATATCCAAAAGTGGAATTGGTAGGTCATATACTCATTATGTTTTTCAGTTTCTGAGGGCTGCCAATACTGTCTTCCACAGTGGCCACACTGATCCACATTCCCACTGGCAGTGCACAGCACTCCTCCATTCCCTCCACATCTTTAGCAGCACTTGTTATTTCTAGTCTTTGATAATTGCCATTCTAATAGATGTGAAGTGATCTCTTACTGTAGTTTTGATTTGCTTTTCCCTGATGATTAAGTGATGTTCAGCACCTTTTCATATACCTATTAGCCATCTATATATCGTCTTTGAAAAATGTTCAGATCCTCTGCCCATTTTTTAATTGGGTTATTTCTTTGCTAATGAGCTGTATGAGTTCTTTATATATTTTGGATATTAACCCCTTATCAGATAAATGATTTGCAACTGTTTTCTCCCATTTGGTTGGTTGCCCTTTCATTTTGCTGTGCAGAAGCTTAGTTTCACATAGGCCCCACTTGTTTATTTTTGCTTTTGCTGCCTCTGTGTCTGATGCCAAATCAAAAAAATAATAGCCAAGGAACTTACCCACTGTGTTGTCTTCTAGGGTTTTTAAGATTTCAGGTCTTAAATTCAAATCTTTAATACAAATCTTTAACGAGTTAATTTTTGTGTGTGGTATAAGATTGTGGTCAAGTTTCATTCTTTTGTATGTATCCAGTTTTCCTAATAATCATTTGTTGAAGAGACTGTCCTTTCCTGATTGTATATTCCTGACTCTGTTGTGTAAATTAATTGACCATGTATGCATGGGTTTATTTCTAGGCTCTCTATTCTGTTCCGTTCATCTATGTGTCTCTTTTTATTCCAGTACCATAGTGTTTTGATTAATATAACTTGGTAATATAGTTTGAAATGAAGGAGCATGATGCCTCCAGCTATGTTCTTCTTTCTGAAGATTGCTTTGACTATTCAGGGTCTTTTGTAATTCCATACAAATTTTAGGATTTTTAATGTCTATGAAAAGTGCCATTGGAATTTTGATAGGGATTGCAATCTGGATCTGTAGATTGTTTTGGGTAATGGGCATTTTAACATTGTTAATTCTTCCTTCCCAAGAACATGGAATAGCTCTGCATTTATTTCTGTGTCTGTCAACTTATTTTATCAATGTATTTCATAGTTTTCAGAGTACAGATTTTCACCTCCTTGGTTAAATTTATTCCCAGATATTTTATTATTTTTGATGCAGTTGCAGATGGGATTATTTTCTGAATATCTCTTTCTGAGTTCTTCATTAATATTAGAGAAGCATAACAGATTTTAGCATGTTGAATTTTATATCCTTCAACTTTAATGAATTGATTTGTTTATTCTAACAGGTTGGTTTGTGGAGTTTCTAGGGTTTTCTAAATATAACACCATGTCCTCTGCCAAGAGAGTAAGCTTTATTTCTACCTTTCTAGTTTGGATGCCTTTTATTTCTTTTTCTTGCCTAATTGCTTTGACAAGGACTTCTAATACTAGGTTGAGTAAGAGTGGTGAGTGTGGCATAATATAGAGGGGGCATGGGGAAGACAAGTAGTGACTCTATAGCATCTTACTATGCTGATGGACAATGACTGCAATGGGGTGTGGGGGGCACTTGATAATATGGGTGAATGTGGAAACCACAATGTTGCTCATGTGAAACCTTCATAGAACTGTATGTCAATGATACCTTTATTTTTTTTAAGTATTATTTAAAGTATTGTCATTAAAACCCTTGGACAAAAGCTGGAAAATAAAAAAAGAATGGTAAGTGTGGGCATCCTTGTCTTGTTTCTGATCTTAGAGAAAAAGGTTTCAGCTTTTCACCATTTAGTGTGGTGTTAGCTGTGCACTTGTCATATATGGCCTTTATTATGTTGAGTTTTTATCATGAAAGGACGTTAATTCTTTCAAATGCTTTTTCTGCATCTGTTGAGATGCTTATCGAAAGAAATAGTTAATTTGATATATCACATTTATTGACTTGCAGATGTTGAACCATCCTTGCATCACTGGAATAAATCCCACTTGTTCATTGTGTATGATCCTTTCAATGTATTGTTGAATTCAGCTTGCTAATATTTTGTTCAGAATTTTTGCATCTATGTTCATATGAGATATTGGCCTGTAATTTTCTTTTCTTGTGACATCTTGTCTAGTTTTCTTATAAGGTTAATGCTGGCTTTGTAAAATGAGTTTGGAAGTGTTCCCCCTCTTCTGTTTTTTGGAAGAGTTTGAGAAGGATTGTTATTAACTCTTTAAATGTTTGGTAGAGTTCACCAGTGAAGCCATCTGTTCCTAGACTTTTGTTTGTTGGGTGGTTTTTGATTACTGATTCATTCTCCTTACTAGTAATCAGTCTGTTCACATTTTCTATTTCATTATGATTCAGTCTTGATAGGTTGTATGTTTTAGGAATTTATCCATTCCTTTTAGGTTGTCCAATTTATTAGCATATAATTGTTCATAGTAATCTCTTATGATCCTTTGTATTTCTACCTTTGAAAGTCTCACACATCAACGTGTCCCTCTCCACATGCTGACCTATGTCAAATTACTCATCCTTAACTTTCACCTGGGCTTGTAACATAACCTCCCTCAATTATATTCTTCTTCCACTCAATCTAACATATTTTTATCTTCTTAGAAAATAGAAGTGATCATGTCACTGTACAGGGTAAAATAAAAACTCTTGAACTCACTTTATTTTTTTTGGTTTTTTTGTTTTTTAACCAAATCAAATATGAATTTCTTAGCCTTTACATACATAGTCTGGCCCCAGTCATTCCCTTTGGCTTCATTTCCTACCAGTCTCCACCCAGTCTCCGGCCCTTATGTTCCAGCTGCATTGAGCATCTCCCTCTTCCCAGGTGTGCGCTGTGCCCCCTCTTGCCCCATGTGGCTCTGTTTGTTCCATCTGCTTGAAAGCCTCTTCTCATCTTTGATCTCCCAAACTCCTGTTCAGCTCTCAAGATCCAGACCACATGTTGCCTTTTGTGATATCTTCTCAGACTCCTCCAGAACAAGAGAGCTGCTCTTATGTCTCCCCTGCAGCACATGTTAATGCCTTGTTATGGCTCTTACCATGCTGATTGTGATCATAAGTTTACATGTTTGTTCTTACTAATCTAAATGGGTCTTCAGGACAAGGTTCATGTCCATTCATCTTTTAACACCTAGCACATAGTAGGCCCTCAATAAATGCTGCCATAATGCTTGAAGGAATGTCAAAGAGAGTGTTTAAAAAGGTAGTTAGAAATATACTTACTCCTAAGCAAGCAAAGGGCTATCTTATGTTTCTCAAAATAATCTTTTTAGCTAAAGTAGCAGGTCTTAGGATAGCAAAAGTGGGACATAATGGGGAATTACTTCTAAATTGTAAGTTTCCTGGGGCAAGGGCCATTATGCAAAGTTAAGATGCAACCTGAGACCATCCGTATGCCCCATCCTGGGCACATGTGTACCACCCTCACACAGTGAGGGAAAAATCCCACCTGGAAGGAGCGGCCTGGGATTGGAGGCCCAGCTCTGCCAGCCAGCGCCTTTGGTCCTTGGGTTAGCGACTTACTTCCTTAGGCCTCATTTTCATGAAGAAGCCTTTCACATTTTCTTTTATATTTTCCTGGTGGTTAATTTTGATGGAGGAAGACTTCACAGAGAAAGTGCATCTTTTTGTGTTTTTTTTTTTTTTGCTTTATTGAGGTTGTATAATTGACAAAATTATGTATTTAACATGTAGAACACAATGATTTAATATGCTGTGGAAGGACTCCCACAGTCAAGTTAATTACACTGCCATCTCATCTCATGTATTTCCTTTTTTCTTTATGTGAACACTTAGGTCAGACTCTTAGTGAATTTTCAATTACATAATACAGTATTATCAACTATAGTCATTATATTGTACATTAGCTCTTCAAACTTTACTCATCTTACAGAAAATGTGTACCCTTTCACCAACCTCTCCCCATTAGCACCACTCCCCAGCCCCTGGCAGCTACCATCTACTTACTATTTCTGTGAGTCTGACAAATTTGTTTTTTTCAGATTCCATATATAAGCAGTACCAGTGTTTGTTGTTCTCTGTCTGTGGCTCATGTCCCTACAGCTTGTTGCAAATGTTATTTCTTTTTTATTGATGAACAAATAATTCTTAGTGTGCAGACAGGATTGTTTTTATTTTATCTGAAATCCATCCTTCCTTTCCCTTTCAGCTGCAGAATGAGTTAGAAAAAGGGGAGCGGGACAATGTGGAACTGCAGGAGTTTGCCAATGCCATCCTGCAGCAGATTGCAGACCACTGCCCCGACATCCTGGAGCAAGTGGTCAACGCCCTGGAGGAGTCCTCCTGACCCTGCTCTGGGCAGTGCTGGCCGGCAGCCTGTGCAGTGACTCCAGGGGCCACGGGGGACAACCATGCCAAATAGACACCCAGAGGCTTCCTGGCACCAAACCAGCACAGCAGACTCTATCCTGTCTTGGTCAGTCCTTCAGGTGTGGTTCCAGCACCATTTCTACACCTGTCCTCTCACTCTGCCTTTCTGCTGTGGGCGTTGTCACCACACTTCTTTGATGTCCAAGGTGGGTAAATGTCTGAGTCTCCATGAAGGACTGACATACAGTCGTCAGCAGCAGAGAACTGTGGGAGCGGGTGGCTCTGCCCTTGCAGAGGGGCATGGAAGAGACTTCATTCCTTCTGTCCTTGACACCAGAACTAAATCTGGAATCTGCCTGGAGTTCAGCATATTGAGAGAATGCTTCCCACTGGACCAGAGAGCTGAGTGTTCCAATATCACAATAGGTGCTTTCTCCTAAAGGGGTTAAAAGATCTCAAAAAGAGAGAACAGGGACAAAGAGAAACCCGAGTCTTCTTTTTACCGCCTCCCTTGTCCACCCGTCACATGTGTGGTGTTCTGTGCAGGGGCCGTGAGCGGGCCCCCCACCTTCGGGGGCACTAGCCCCCAGGATCCGGGTCTGCCCCAGCCCTGCCGCACTTGTCCTTGCCCCTCCCAGCCAGGTAACAAGGGCCGTAGCGAATGGCTTTCCCCTGGTCCCTCTTGTGTAAGACCTTTGGCTTACTTATACAAAGTTTGTCAGATCCTTTATCTCTAGGAAACAGAAGAAGGGTTTGGCGTGCGCCCTGCCAGCACCCTCTGTGGCTCTGCTCCTGTGGAAGGAAGGTGACCATTCCTGGGGTCAGTCCAGTTTCTCTGAACATCTCCGTCACAGCAGTCTGGGCCCCTCAGCCCCCAATGAATGCATCTGCCTTTCCACCACTTGTGTTCTACATCCCACAGCCCAAGTTTAGGACCTGCCCCCCTCACCCCATTAGCTTTACTCCCAATTTGTACTCCCAGACCCCTTGTGCATTGCCTGGAACTTCTTTCTGGCACAAATGAATGTTTCTCATCCCACACACACTCCTTGCTCCATTCTTTCATTCAGAGAAGACATAAGAAATGCCTACTGCATACAAGTCACCGTTAGGTGCCCATCCTTGAAGAGTCTCTTTGGTGAGGAAGAGGTGTAAAGGTATCTGTGAACAGACCTGGTTGAGCCAAAGCAGTAAAGGCTTTCCCTTCCCGTCCCCCATCTGGATGGAAGATAGCTTCCAGAGAACTCTTGTGCAAATCAACATTTCTCTTTATGATGTAATTGGTGGGTTTGGGGGCAGGGGCAGAGTTACTTACTTGCCTGTAGGAGCCCTTTTGGCAATTCAGGATTTCTGTTTGTTCTTGTTACCCTAGAAAAGTGTGTTGTTGAGGGGGTTATGATGGTGGACAGTGTTTTCTTAGCACAGCGTGTACTTTGGGAAACTCAGCTCCATGATGCACATCAGAAAATTAATCCCAAATTTGCAAGTCCAGTTGAAGATATTGGTATTTTAAAGGGCATTCTTCCCAAGCATGGACTATATCATAAATAATCAGTCACCAAAAACTAGACTAGACCACTTCATCCAAATGTAGCCCTTTGACCATCTCTGCGGCCAGACACCCACCAGACACTCACACCTTCTGATAAGAGTTGCTGCACGAAATGTTTTTGTCTTGCATTCTCTCCTTTCCCCTTCCCCAACTACTCACCCAAGAATCTGGTGCCTGTAAAGTCATCACAGCATTCAGGCTACTATCTTCCCACCAGCAGCCCTTGGCCGTCCCATTAACTTATATGGTCAGGTCTCCAGCTGCCCAATTCCCTGCTGTAAAACAGTCTCTTCCTGTGAGAAGCTGTGGAGTGTTCTTATCAAAGGTCTAAATGGACTCTGCTCGTAAACTTCTTACTGAGATGCTTTCTGATAGTCAGGCAGACAGAGGTCGGTGCGGGGGTTAGATAGTAAGTGGTCATAGTTTGTGACCGATCACCTCCATTCCATTTATTCATTGCACTGCCCATGAATCTTACACAAAGCCCCCAGGATTTTAGGGCCAGAGTCACTAGAATCTCACTTTATCTACCATAATGCAAACAAGTGAGGTAGAACAGCACTGTTCAGGGGACTAGAGCAGAACAGAGAAGGCAGGAGAGGCCATGCCAGGGAAGTGGCCCCAGCCGACCAGCTGGTCGGCTAGAGAAGGCATCCGGCAGGTCTTCCTGGGTCCCACTGACTCCACCTTTAGCATCAGACACATACCTGTCACTCTTGCCTACATGGTGCCTGACTTCACTGCACCTCCTTCCTCCCCCTTCTCTTTTCAACCCTTCCTGAGGCTTCCTCTACAAACATTATGGATGTTCCCTGGCCAAGTACTTTGGCACAAATGATGTGTGGGGCAGGCATCCTCTGTCTGCTGTCTTTGAACCCCAGCAGGGAATCTCCTTGATTCTTCCTGGGTGGTCATCCAGCATCGCAGAGGTTCTGGGGGCTGTTCGGTCCTAAATGTAAGTAGGCTGTAGCTAAAGCTGAGTAGCGACCATGCCCTGCCTTTATAGTATGGGGGCTAAGTCAGGACAATGCTCACTGAGTTAAATCCATTCACTCAGCTGCCATATACTAAATAACACAACTCCCAGCACAACAGGACTTCCCGCCGGGGGCCCTCCTCTGGTACTCGGCCTCACAGGTCACTTGACTGCTACCAAAGGTCTGTAGCCTTGAAAACTCACTACAGCTTGCCTGTCATGTTCACCAGACTCATCCGGTTCACTGGCAAGGCTAGTTACCCCTTAACACCTAAAGATCTGCACCCCAAATGAAGGTCATCATGAAGGGGACAAGAAGAGGAGTGGATAGAATCTAGCCCGGGGCTCACAACTGAAGAAATGCAAAGCGACGGTCTCTTTGTGTCATATACCTCTGTCCCAGGTCCTCATTAAATTCTTGATGAAGTTTCTGAAATGAGATTTGCAAGGATTTATGTACCATTTGCAACAGAAAAGATCTTAAATGGGCTCTAACAAATTAAGAAACAAATCCTTAAATCCATCTCTGGCTCCGACTTTGACCTTGTACCTTATAACCTACAGAAGATCTAAGTGCTTCCCTCTCCTTTACACATGGGCTTTAGAATACGGCAAAGGAGACTAGACCCAAGACTGCCTTCAGTGGTGATAGTGGCAATGTGACCTGGCACTTCTTGTCAGTAAAAGCCTGGTTTCCCACGAGGGCCCCACGGGCTCACCCACTCCTCAGAGTCCACGAAGAGGATGGGAGAGTCATCACCAAGTCCTAGCCAGCTACCCGGCCAGTCCCTCCCCTGTCATTGTCAGGATGAGTGCCTGGATTCGCTGCTCAAGAGTGCTGCTGGCCCCAGAGCCCCCCTGCCCCCCTGGTGGCCTCAGACATGAGCACAGGCCCACCGGCTACCCTTGGGGTCTTTGAAAAAAGAGCAAATCAGGGAATATATCACCACATAGAAGGTGACCCTCACACGGCACTTCTAAATCACAGTGGGCGCTGTGTCAGCCCACAGGCCGGGTGGCGTGCTATGCCTGGCAGGGCCTGCAGGGCCGGCTTCTCCACCACTGCCAGCCCCCGGGCTCCTCAGGATGGGGCCTTGAATACCCAAAGGAATGTTTTAGAAAGACTCTGGAGTGAACTAAGGGAGTATTTGGGCAAAAGAAAATATACATTGCAAGGAAATCCTTCTGAACAAAATGGCTCGATGATTCTTTTTAAGCAAAAACTGTTCCCAAACTTTTTAGTGTCAGAACTGTAACCAAGTGTCTCCTGACTTTTTCCAACGTGTTTGATGAGTGCCATGACCCTGCCACAGGCCTTCCTCCTCCTGACCCTGGGGGAGCCTTGGTTTCTGGGGCTGGTCAGCGGGGAGGGAGCAGTTCTCCCGCGTCCCACCTGCCCTTTTGTTTCTCTGCTCGTCAATATTGTCTGTGTGGTTCAGAGCGTTGAGGCAGTTGCATTGTGTCCATTGTTGAGATTATTAAGATATTAAAAATAGTTGTAGAACTGAAAAATTAAAGAGCTGTGTTTTGAAAAACAAACCAATATGATGTTAGTAAAGGAATTCAAGCTCCGGGGCAGCCATGCTCCTCCGCAGCCGGCCGGGTGAAGCTGGGCTGGCTGCTTGGAGAACAGCGCGCCAGGCGGTCGCCTGCCCAGGGGGCGGACAGCCGCCGAGCAGAAGGAATCGGAGCAGGGCTCGGAGAGTTCCCGCACACCCTCAGGACCCGGGGGAGGGCTCCGCGTGGGACCCCGTCGCCGCCCTTGCCCCCATGTCTGCCCCAGCCCCGTGTGCCTAGGACCGTGTGGTGACCTGGGCTTGGCCCTGAAGTCGCACCCTCAGCAGCCCTGCAAGGCCGAGAACTTCCTTCCTGCCCACTTGGTGCTATATTTCCAGGGCCCGTCCAGTTCAGGCCCGCGCCCGCATCCTGGAGCCTGCCGTCCGAAGGATGAACTGTACTCGGATCTCCATTCCTTCTAGATTCTTCCCCTATGAGCTTTTTAGACACCGGGTCCCTGGGGCCGGGCTGTGCCTCTTGGGCCCAGAGATGCCGAGGGCAGGAGAGGAAGCGGACCATGCTGAAGGCAGCTCGTTCACCTGCCTGCCCGGCCACGCCAGTCGGTATTGCAGTCGCCCTGCCCTGCAGCCCGGCCGCACCTGCCTCCACGAGAACCAGGGCGTCCGGACGGAGACCTAGGGTCTCCCTGGGGCTCATCCTCCGCGTCAGTAGGGCTGCCCTGCAGTGGCGGCCGAGGAGGATGGGTGCTGACTCCGGTAGCTTGAGTTCCTCGTGGTGACAGTAGCAGCCACAACAGTGGTGTCTGGGGTGCAGGCGCACCCACTGCCCTCAGCTGTGTGCGTGTGACAGCCAGAGTCACCTTACTGACACAAAGAGGTGTTATAGACAACTCTGCCTTGATAATTATTGTAAACACTTGTTCATTTTTTTCTTTTTTATTCACAAACTAAATCCATCAGGAAATTATAAAGTTATTTAAAAATTGTGTGCTGTGTCTTTCTTTGAGTATCATTCCCAAATGATGCTAGAATCCTCAGATACTAGAAAAGCAAAGAGAAGCCAGCAGTCCCCCAAAAATCAACCCCTAGTGCCAGGTAACCCAAGAGCCAGGGGTGCCCAGGGCTTGGCAGGGCTGAGGAGCGGACAGGCCTGGAGCGGGCCCAGAAGAAGGGAAGCCTCCTGCGGGCTGCCACCAGAACTCGGGTAGGCAGCCCCCTTAACTGCCTTTCAAAGCCTGCTTCCACCTCTCTTCTCCCCTCCATGCATCCCCAGCCCTGAGCCAGGTTCCCCATTTCGGATCGAGTTGTGTGTCTGGAGCTTGGAGGGAGCGGCCCCTGCCCACGCCCAGGAGGGCCAGGGCAGCCAGGGCTTGGGAGGGTTTTGTTCAAGGGGGTTCAGGCCCCCCAGGCCTCACTCTGCTGTACTAACTCAGGGATGTATGAGCTGCGCTGGCCAACAGAATGTGAATACCCGGAGGAATGGGGAGCTGAGAGACTGCTGGAGAAATTTCCAGCTTTCGTATTTGTCTTGGGCCTTATGCTCACTAAGAAATTATTCTGGGAAATTTCTTTTATGAGAATTCCTTTTCTGCTTAGCCTCATTTCCACATCTGCCCCAGAAAGGAATCGGCCTGCTCACCACCCTCCCTTTCTCCTTGGAGAGTCTGTCACCCGCTGTGGCCCTTGGGGATGGGCTCTTCCTGGGGCTTCCCCAGGCCCCACTGCTGCTCTTGGCCAGAGCACCTGGTCGGAGGGTCCGGAAGATGGGGTGGCACCTCGGAGACATGCTGTCCACGGGATTCAAAACCCTCTGTTGCTCACCACTTCCTCCTGGAGCAGAGACAGTTTCACTGGGAGAACGTGTATTATACTGCAACAGTGTAAAATACAACCACAAGCAGATGTGCCTGCAGAAAGCTGTTGGATTACACTGGTCAGCTGTTTCCAGGCTTTTCCATTAATCTTTTTTCACTGTTTATTTATTCACTCTGTGGTCTACCAGTACTCAGTTCAGACAAATGGACACAGAAACCATGAGGTTTAAGAAAAATATGTGAGAGAAGTTGCAATTGAGAATTCCATCCATTAACTTGGTTTTTGCTCTGAATTGGGAAAGGCTGCTGTTTTTTTTATTTTTGAGGGGGACTATCAGGCCGGCTTGAAGACGGTCAAGAACTGCTTAGCCCCTGGCGTGAGGAGCACCCTGCAGAAGCTGGGTGGAGATCCGTGAGGCTTCCCAGATGTCCTGAGAAGGGCCCTGGGCTTGCAGCCCACAGCCCTCGGCTGCATCTTGACCTCTCAGCCTCTCTCCAGTCCCCTCTTCAATCCCTTCTAAAGTAATACCGCCTTCACCTAGGTCACAAACCACAGCCATAGTGAGGATAACAGATAATTATGCTTTTTCCTTTTTGAGAGCTCGTTTAAGAGCATAAAGCATAAAATTGCTTTCTTCACGTCTGCCTTTTGCTTTACAACGGCCCCATGCGTACATCGGGAGGTGGCATGGGGCAGGAGACAGGTACAGAAGTCAGCCATGGAAGCACTGGGTACCTGGGGTTCATTATAGCCTTCTCTCTATTCTTATGTATATGTGAAATTTCCCTCAGTATTTACATCCTTGGGTTGCACTTGCCCAGTCTTCACCATGGGCCTCCTTCACAAATGGCCACCACAACACTCCCACTCACCACACCAATACTCATGCACCCCCATGTCCCAGGCACACAAATAAGAAAGGCTAGTGGTGCCTTCCCCAGGTTCCAGGTGCAGTTCTCAGCACCTGATGTGTTCTATCTAATCTCTCTTCATAGCCATCCCACGGGTAGGTAATGTTACCCCAATTTACAGATGAGGTGTGGAGTGGTTAAGCAGGTTTCGCAATCTCATGCAGCTCCTAAGTGGTGGGGCTAGAATTTAAAACCAGCTCTGTCCTGAGCTTGTGCTCTTCACCCACTACCGTAGCCACTTCCCAGAGGGCTCAGTCCAAGGGCAAAACTACTGCAGTGAAATGCATGTAGGAGCGCCGAAGAGCAGGCAGCACTCTTCATGGACCTGCAGGTTTGAACTTGAAAGATGAATTTTGCCAACAAAGGAGGTCAAGGATGAGGGGAGGTAGAAAAGACAGACTGAGCAAAAACACGAAGGCAGGAAAGGGCATGCAGTGTTTGGGGACAACAAGCAGTCCACTGCCGGCAGATCAGATGCTGCTTGACTAAGAGCCAAGGGAGGACCTGGTGGCCCCCACTATTGTGTAAAAGGCATTTATTTTCATTGTCTGGTAAATGGTGCCCTGGAAAGGAAGGCCAGCCCGGGAAAACATCACCCACACCACCAGCAACCCTACCTGCAGCCCACAAGGGGTTGATCAAAAGAAAAGCCCCTGTGTCAGCTCTGGAGGGTCCCCTTCTCCCTGCCCCTGAGGGCTGCTGGAGGTGAGGAGATGGTTGTGCCAGTATCCGTGGAGGGAAGCTGCCAACACCACACAGCCAGGAAGCCATGGACCTGGGTGCAAACCTGAGCCACTGTTTGCAAGCCTTCCAGCTCCCTGCCAGCCACAGACCATCACAGGAGCCATGAGGCAGGTGTGGGCAGAAGCCAGGCAGAGGAGCCTTCCTGCAACCTCAAAGTTGATGGCACTGAGGTTGGAGTTCAGAGGGGAGGGAAATACTGTGCCCAGCTTGTTCACCAGCAGGATGGGTGTGGAGTCACGCCGAGAGTCATGCTCCTTATTCCCCCAGAATCACGATGAAGCAAAGGAAGCTCTCACCACTTCGGGGCCTCAGGTGGGGCAGGAATAAGGCCCTGCCAGACCCCACCCATGAGACGGTTCCTTTACCCAGTTCTGGGGAGAAAGCTGCCCGCCTACCACAAGGGGAGCCTCCCAGGGCGGTGGGCAGACAGTCCCAGCCTCGTGCGGGTCCTACGTGACAAATGCTTTCCTGCTTCCACCTGTCCCCCGATAGCATGCCGACCTTCACCTGTCCCCTCCTACGGAGGTCACACTTCCCAGGCACTGGGCCTCACTTACCTGTGAGTGAAGAACCAGAGCCCTGTTGCCTTTAAGAGGGAAAGTGGACATGAGGGAACAGCATCAGTCAAAACATCTGCAGCTTCCATGCCAAAAAGCTGCTTGGCCTCTGGTGGGCTTCACACTCAGGAGGTGGCTCCTGCCCAGTTCATCTTGGGCCTGAGTTTTTTATTATCTTATTCTTAAGGATTGTCAGAAATGAGGCTTTGGAAAGAATCTGTTGGCAACCATAACTTGGAGTAAAGTTTGCACCATAAATGCTCTGCTTGTCCCTGGACCCCTTACTGTGTGCTTGTGTGGCACACATGCTGGAAACACAACCCAGAAATGAGCACTTCTGTGTGACAGCCACTGGCCACCTCCCCCTCTAGCAGCAGGGCCAGGTGGACTCAGTGGGGAACCCAGGGGCACCTGGGCAGCAACCTCAGAAGCCCAGGGCAGCTCCACCCCTGAGGAATGATGCAAATGCACTAAAGCCATACTTCTTTCCACCTCTGAATGCCCATTGGTATGCAGATGTACTAAAGCCAGGCAAGATATTCTGGAAATATTCCAGTTTTACCCACAGGCCACCCCTCCAGAAATCTTGCCTTACAATTTACTCATTCCCCCTCTTCTGACCAAACTAATGATATACAATAGCAACAGCAATAAAATCATGATAATCCTCAAACCAGAGGATTCATCCTATGCAGATTAAGTAAATGTACTTTATGGCACAATCTCTTACTAAGCACAAAATATGTTTCTATACTTGTTTACTCATTCCTAACAACTGCTAGATTGCTCACAAAACTTTTACCACACATTAGACAAAGTCAAGCCTCCTTTAAGCATTTTTTTCTTGACAACAGCAACACAATCATGATAATTCTCAAGCCAGAGGAATTCAGCTAGGTTCAAAGTCCCATGCGGATTAAGTCCAAAACTCATCCATTCCAGCCATCACACGGCAGCTGCAGCCAGGGGGCACATCTAGGACACAAGGACTGTAG